TATATATATATATATATATATATATATATATATATATATATATATATATATATATATATATATATATATATATATATATATATATATATATATATGTACATATACGTATATATATATATATGTACATATATGTATATATATATGTACATATACGTATACATATACATATATACAAACACATATGTATATATCAATGTGATTAATGGAAATTTAAGCAATTTTTATTGTTATATTTCTCAATGACAACTTTACCAATTTTAACGGTTTTCTTTCTTTAATGAAGGTTACATAATTAACTTTTTTTTCAATAAAAATAAAAATAACTTTACAAAGTGCAAGTAATTTAATTTTCATAAAGTACCATCCATCCTTTCCACAATTTCACTTTGCGCTACTTTTTTTGTAGCATTAATCCAGAAATCTTGAAATTTTTTAAATATTATTTTCACATTTGCCCCTTTTCCACATTATCCCCTTCACATTTGCCCAGTAAGATTCGTTAACTGGCCGCTCACGACAGTTAGGTGGATTAACATCCTTTGGAATTAAATTAACAATTTTTTTCTTATACCACTGAATTACTTTTTTGCAATCAATAGCCGATTGATGCCAGATCTGGCCAAAATGAGGCTGATTATATGTTCTTTTTACTTAAAGAAAGAAGTCATTTTTTCAAGCATTCCATCACATATAGATCTGGTGTCAAAGATTGATTTATTGAGGAGGTTAATTTGAAATTGCCTGCTATGCTAGGAACCGGAAAGTTTTCTTACTCAAATGTACCTAAATTTGTACCTAAATAATAATGTTTTGACTGATAATAGTATTGATTACCTGGAAGTAACAAGTGATCTTTTTTAGAGTAAGTTTCATCAACTTTAAAAATGCATAAATTATTTTTTGTAATTAATTTAAGCAAATTTTTAGCTCATCCAATTGGTTTGATTTCTCCTTCAAGCAACTTTTTTAGTATTTTTTATTAGTAATATTCTGTTTGATTTTTTTTTTTAAAACTCTTTGAATAAAAGCTTTATTGAATTTGAACTTTGTTGCTAAATCTTGTTGTGACTCAGTCAGATTTTGAATAATTGAGTCGACTATTTATTTTGCCTTCTTTATGGAAATAAATCTGGATTTTCCACTACTTCCCTATTTTATTTTACAGTTTTGTTTTCTTTATAACAATTCCAAAAATTGATTTTGGAACTGTACATGCTTTTGAAATCATGGAATATGCAAATGATGGATTTTCTATGAATAATATCAATATTTTTTCTGACTTTTTACTCAACATTGCAAAAGCTAATGAAGAGTAAACAAAACTATACTCATGCACAAATAAACTAATTATGTATAAACTAATCATGCATAAATAAACTAATCATTATAAAAAAGGTAGCAATAGATTAAGTAATTTTTAAGAAACTCATTGTAAAGTTGTCTAAATTTCAACCGATTATGGTGATACCATAATCGGTTGATCACCTTGACTCTTATATATACATACAGTAGCGTCCAAAAGTTTACGGACAGGCAAAAAAATAAAGAATTTTAATTATATTTCAGCACATACTTTACTAAAGCCAACATATTATATACCAATTAAAAGGTTTTCAACTTTACAATAGGTTTTGAACAAATAATTATTATCTAAATAATATTTTTAAATTGGTATACAAATCAACGGTCTTTGATAATTTCAAAAATTTGCAGACAAAGCGTTATTTTTTTAAATAGTTAAAATATTTCAACAATATTTGATCAAAATTTTTGCAAAAGCAAAATCACATTAGTATTTTGTTGGATATCCTTTACAATCAAGAATAGCTTGGCATCTATGAGGCATAGAGTCAACTAAATTAATGCAAATTTCAATGGGAATTAGGTCCCATAATTCTTTGATTTTATTAAATAAATCAGCATAATTTGTAGGCTTAATTCCTTTCATTTGACGGTCAACATGTTCCCATAGATTTTCAATGGGATTTAAGTCAGGTGATTGGGATAGCCACTTCAAAACATTAACTTTACTCTCTTTAAAAAACTCTAAAACCGATTGAGCTGTATGTTTGGGATTGTTATCTTGTTGGTAAATCCATCCTCGAGGCATTTTATCCTTTGCATATGGTAACATAATAGTCTTACATATATCTTTGTACTTTTCTTGATTCATATTCTCGGTAATTCTATGGAGAGGATCAACTCCATTTTGGCTAAAACATCCCCAAACCATTACATTACCTCCTCCATGTTTTACGGTAGGCAGTTGGTATTTAGGATTGTACCTAGTACCTACTGGATGTCGAACATACCTGATTCAATCGGATCCAAACAGCATAAATTTGCTTTCGTCACTAAAAAGAATTTTTGACCATTTTTGACTACTCCACCTTAGATGTTTTGATGCAAATTCCATTCGGGCGTTACGGTTTTTCAAGGAAACTAATGGTTTTTTAGCTGGGCGTCTTCCAAACAAATTAGCGTGACGTAATTGACGTTTTATAGTAGAAATACTACAATTCATTCCATAGAAACGTCTCATTTGTATGTTTAAATCGACAGCTGTCAAACAGGGATTTTCTTTGCTTAGTATTACAAGCATTTTATCCTATATTTTAAAACTGAAATCTGAGTCATCTTATGAATTGGTTAAAAAGGTAGCCTTTGAACTTCAATCTTACAAAATATAAAATGCTTTTCTAAACATATTGAGCATATTAGAAACAAATTTATATATGAGATGGCTGATAACTATTTAGGCATAAATTTTTTAAAAACAAATAACAAAATTAATTTTAAAGTAGGGATATTAGATGATTAAAACTGTAATATAAAACTGATTGAAAAAGAAGAAAGTGTACAGTCATAAGGGTAGCATAATTGAATTTTTTTTTTTTTGAATGTATTTTTTAAGAGTATTAAAAAAATAATTGCTAATATGCTAATACAAAAAGTATTAGGAAACATCTTTTATGGACATAAAGGCTAAATTATAAGATCTTGCAGATCTTATAATATAGCCATTTGCAAATTTTTTTATATAAGGTGTTGCAAAAATAATTATGTTTCAAAAACAAGGAAAGTAAAATTAACAAAATAGAAATATTAAATAAATTTAAAATTAAAAAAAAAATTTATAATTTGTATAACTTGTGCACTGTTTATATTTTTGTTTCTTTAGGGTGGTTGTTATTTTCAGCAACGAAATTAGATAAGGCAAACCAAAAAAAAAATTAGTTTTAATTTGACATTAACAAGAAAGATTTTATAATTAATTTTTTTTTTTTAAAATAGGAAAGCAAAAATATAAATTGCTATTTGTTTGTAAAATATATTTGTAGTTAATTTTAATGTAACAAGTATATATTCTCCCTATATGGTGACATCTATGTATTACATTCATATATTTTTACTTATAACTTGTTATTTTATAAATAAATTTATTTGTTTATTTGTAAACACATGTTTAGCTTATTTGGATAACACATATACTTCAACACAGAAATTCTGTGGCTCAAATCCCACCTCTCTCTAGTTTTTTTTGTTTTTCTTTAAAATAAAGCTGGTCATGTATTTGCTTCGTAACTATTTATCTTTTCTTTTTTGTTCATAAAAATCTTTGTTGTATGTTTTTAAGTGATTCGCATTACTTCATATTCAGATTTCTTATACCATTTTATCCTCTCAGTGTATTTACTAAGGTGCACACAAATATATACATAGTTTTTAAGCTTCATATAGGCCATGCTGTCTAAACTTTTTTCACAAAGCCTTATTTGGTTTATATTACCTTTCTCTTCCAGTACGTTTTTTATCCCCAATCTCTTAGTTTTGTAACTTTCGATACCTGTTACTTTTTAATATATTTTCTTTTTAATGCAAATTTACTTCCTCAATGCCAAGAATGCCACTACACACAAGGAGGCTACTTAATTTAGGTTTTAACCTTTTCTTAACTCTTTAACTCCAAAGCACCAACCTTGACAAAAAAGGCCGCTGTGCGGAGATACAAGTTTAGTGCAGTACTACAAGGGATGTGGTTGGGATTGAACTTGGAACCTCCCCTTTGGTCTACTATGTTATTGTTGAAATATACGTAAACAATTATAAATAATAATTGTTAATAATTGTTATGCAATTATTAATAATAAAAGTTAATGATTGTTTAGATATATTTCACTAATAACATAGTTGACCAAAAAAGAGAGGGAGGGTATAAATAGGTGCATGAAGCCAAATGTTAAAAAGCATCTGATATCCAAAATTACCAAGAGCTTAAAGGTTAAGAATAAATAACGTACAGGAACAAAGAAAAGTAATATGAAAAATTAATAGTATGTAAACAACAAAATTTATTAAAAATTATGCATAAGATCATTTATAAATTTTTTTTTTTTTTATAATCTTAAGTTTTTTTATAAAAGAATTTAAAACCAAATAAGCAAGTATTGTACTATATCTCATCAAAATGTATATATTAACTACTTTACTAAACCGTAGGCTGAATGGATTTGAATTTAGCAAGAATGTTGTTGATTTTTTTTTTAAATTTAATTCACCTCCTCAAGGCCGAGAAGGCCACTACAGACGAGGAGGCTACTTATTAGTGGTTATAACCCTCTCTCAACTCTATAACTCCGAAACACGAACCTTGATGAAAAAAGGCCGCTGCGCGGAGAAATGAGTTTGGTGCGGTACTACCAGGGATGTGGTGGGGATCAAACTCAAAACCACTCGTCTATTAAGTGAGCGCTCTACCACTACACCACTACCGCAGATTTAAATCAAGCACTCTACCTATGCAACACTACCACTTATACTGATAGTGATAAAATCTTTTGTAGAAATAAACACCAATAGTTACTATTATATGTTAGTATTATTAGCTATATTAAATTATAAAAAATTATAATAAATTAAGAATGTTTACACTCTGTTAGGATATAAAGAAAATTTGTTAAATTGCATTATGTTTTTTTAATGACAATTTTTTTTAAAAGGTGATTTGACTGATTGGAGTCAGTGGAGTGCATGTTCTAGTACTTGTAAGACTATAAGTGATGGACCTTACCAGTACAGAAACAGGTCTTGTGTTGGTTATTCTACTTGGAATATTCAGGATTTGCCTTGTAATGGCAGCAATATAACTGATCAACAATTTTGCAATCAAATTATACCTTGTTTAGGTATACTTTTTTGTTAACATTATTACAGTTAATTTTATATAATCACTTTTAAAGATGTGTATTTTTTTATGCTTACTTATAAATTTTTTATATTCTGATGTTTAAAAATAACAATGATAATATGTTTTTTTTTTTTTGCTTGTTTTTGTTTGTGAATAAATTGAAAAAAAAAATCGGTAAAATATTTTTAAATCATATTATATAAAATATCTAACTATTATATATTATATCTATCAATTTATATATATATATATATATATATATATATATATATATATATATATATATATATATATATATATATATATATATATATATATATATATATATATATATATATATTATATATATATATATATATATATATATATATATATATATATATCGTCGCCTTAGAGGGCAGAGGTTCTATCTCCATGTTGTGCTCAAATTCAACTATGACTTTGGGGACATCTATTATAAGTGCTAGGCAGCGGGTATCTCCAGATAGTAGGAGAAGAGCAATAAATTGTGCGAGTTTTGAGCTATCTACATTTGTGCAGAATCCCAAAAGGGCAAAGGTGTTATCTCCTTTGCCATATGACTATACCGGAGATATCTTCTTTGCCCTATGACATAATTCTTGAAAATGGCAGACGATAACAAATGAAATATAATGAATAAACAATCTTTTAGTAAAACAGAGGTAATTTTAAATAGTTTTTTTTGTAATTCTAAGAAATCACCATGGAATTAAACAATGGTTCAAAAAAGCGAACTTTCACTGAATCAAAAATTGGACACAATCAAGGCAAAAGACCAAATCTTTGAAAACGATTTGTTGAAAAAGACAAAAGAGAGAAAGGAATGGCATGCAAGACACAAAAAGGTAAAGCAGTACCGCCCAAAACACCTAGAACAGTGAACTGCTTAAAGTGCAAATTCAAGTGTGGAGAACATTTTGAGGAAACCAAACGACTAGAAATAAATAAACACTACTGCCAACTAGAGGGTGAAAATAGAAAAAAAGGTTTCATATGCCATTTAGTGAAAAGTAGCAATGTTTCACGTCGTCGTGACAATTCAGGAATAAGACCAAAAACAATATTCTGTGCATATCATCTGCCAGTGGAAGCGAATGAAAACATTTTCATTAGAGTGTGCCAAAAATTTTTTTGCACGACTTTGGACATAAGCAAGAAAACTGTTCAGTTTGTTGTAAAAAATAAAAATGAGATTGGTCTTTTCATACCACCAAATTCAAAAAAAGGAAAAACTCCAGCCAATAAGACTTCAGAAATGCGAACCAATGCAGTTCGAGAGCACATCCTAAGCTTTCCTCAGGTCGAATCTTACTACTGTCGGGCTTCATCAAAGGCAAAATACCTTAGTCCTGAACTAAGTATTGAGGAACTTTATAAACTATACAAAGATGATTATTGCACAACGAAAAATATCACAGATCCAGTTTCTATCGGTGTATATCGAAGAATATTTGTTACTGATTTTAATATAATTTTTTTTATTCCCAAAAAAGACCAATGCTCGATTTCCAATAATTTTCGAGATGCCAGTGGTGATGATAAAGAAACACTACGACCAAATTATGACAGTCATAAATTTCGTGAAAAGTAAGCTATGGACGAAAAAAATTCTGATAAGACTGCATCTGCTGCTGACAAGTCCATTCATTCTATAACTTTTGACCTCGAAGCAGTGTTATCACTTCCATTTGCAGGTGATGCACAAATTTTCTATATGCGGAAACTTGCCGTTTATAATATTAATATTTATGAAACGTCGACCAAAAAAGGAATTTGTTACCTATTGGACGAAAGTGAAGGTAAATGAGGAGCCAATGAAATAAATACAGCTCTGTTAGATTATATGAAGTCTCTTCCAGTTTCTGTGAAGAGGGTGACTTCTTTTAGTGATACATGCTCTGGACAAAATAGAAACCAATTTATTGTTGCGACAATGATGTACATTGTTGAAACAACTCACCTGGAATGCATCGATATGAAGTATATGGAGTCGGGTCATTCTTATTTAGAAGTTGACTCTATGAACAGTACTATTGAACGCAGTAAGAGCCATCAAAAAATTTACACTACACGAGAATACAAAGATCTGATTGCTGCAGCGCGCAAGAATCCGTGTCCATATCTTGTTAAACCACTGCAACACACCAATTTTTTTGACTCAAAACAACTTTGCAGTAAAATTGTGAAAAAATCATACAAAAAATATTAAAGGTGAAACCGTCAACTGGTTGAATATTAGGTGGGCAAGGTTTGAAAAGTCAAGACCGTTCATTATGCAGTACAAATATTGC